CCCTAAGTTCTTCATTAAGAAGCAGTTCATAAGCCCTTGTTCTATAACATAACATGTTCCCCAAGAGCACTGTTAATATATAACATAGACCTATTAAAGTTAATTGATTTTTAGTTTATAATAACCTTTATTTCTATTTACTCTTGTTTATATGCCTATCTCTATTTATGTTCATTTTCTTTGCTCATTTGTACTCATCCAAACCTTAAGGTGTAGTCAAACTGGTTTCTGCATTTATTCCTCACTTGGATCATTTCTGATTTTATTGTTCAAAGCTTTTCTTCAAGGGCCTCCTGTCCTTTCGGGGTCTCTGACTGTAGGATCATACCTAGAAATTTGGTTTCTTTTTTGAAATGGAGTCTCACTCTGTCGCCCAGGCTGGAGTGCAGTGGCGCCATCTCAGTTCACTACAATCTCTGTCTTCCAGATTCAAGCGATTTTCCTGCCTCAGCCTCCTGAGTAGCTGGGATTACAGGCACCTGACACCACACCTGGCTAATGTTTTGTATTTTTAGTAAAGACAGGGTTTCACCATGTTGGCCAGGCTGATCTCAAAAGCCTGAACTTGTGATCCACCCGCCTCAACCTCCCAAAGTGTTGGGATTACAGGTGTGAGCCATCGCACCTGGACGAAATAATGAATTGGTTTTTCTTCATGGTGAAAAATTAAGTTAACAAGTTTACCTTCTTTCCTTTTATTTTCCATGAAATCATCAGCAAGATAAGGCAGCATTTTACCAAAGAAATCAGGTTTCAGTGTAAGATTTTTGGCAGGTGTCTGTGGTCGATGTCTCCATTTGGGTCTTATTCTTATTCTTATTCTTTCATGCCATTATCCTTATTTAACTTGGCCTGATGAACAATTATTGATGAACATTCTGAAGCAAGTAAACAACAAAAAAAAATTTAAATCATATAGTCATCCATCTATCCATCTTTGTCTTCATGCACTGTGACATCCAGTGCTCAGTAATATAAAAAGGAAAAATATACTGGAACCATACCTTTTCCTTCAAATCTCTGATTTCCACATTGGTATATAATTTCTGTAATCCTCAATTTCTTAAGCTGGCAAATGTTTGGCCTAGGACATATGATCCTTTCAGCCACAGATTTGCACATTATTTTTTAACTCACTTTCCTTTCTCTGCTGTCCATTTCATTTGGACAAAGCATATAGTAAGTGAGACTGAGTGCCACTCAGATCAGGTTATTCTCAGCCCTTTTTCTGATTATTGTGAATTATAGGATATTTTCAAATGACTTGAACACACAACTGTCTTTTGAAGATCACCTAACAAGATTAACATTCATCTTTGGAAATTGTTGAAAGTACCTCCACATACCTCTGCATACCCTTGCATGTCCACATCCACATCACTTTTATGTGAAGTCTTAATTAGGGCATAAAACTTTCTTTCCAAAGCAGTGCTCCTTGTCACTGCTAGAAGTCCATTATTCCAGTGTTGTTAGGAAGGATTAAAAAAATGAAAGCCCATTTCATGAATATAATTTACATAGGCAGCATTAAAAAAATGAAAGCCCATTTCATCAATATAATTTATACAGGCAGGATTAAAAAAATGAAAGCCCATTTCATGAATGTATAATTTATATAAGCTACTATTTACTTTCTATATCCTCCTTTCTTTCCTAAGGTTAAAACACCCAGAAGAGATAAAACCAGATTTTCACTAATCCTTCAAGTTTTCTATGTACAATATCAAAGTTACCAGAGATATATACCAGGTCTATTATAGATATTATGTTTATTCATTCTCTTGTCATCCAGCAAAAGTGAGTAACAGTTGGAAAACTGTTAGATTTCAGGGGCCTACAATAGAAATTGCAATGACCAACTCCATGGGAATTTTCTGCTTGTGATGGGGAGCTCCTGTGGATATAATACTTTTTTCTTCTTGTTTTTCTTTATTCACTCTTTTGCATTTGGTAATATTTCACCTTCTTAAAAGTAGTTTTAATTCTCCAGAGCACCTTTAGAATTCCTTCTCCTGTTTTCTTCTCAATTATTTCCAACACCATACATCAATCTTTTATGCTATTGATAGATCATAGTCTAAAAAGGAGTTATTCATACAGTTTTTTTTTTAAAGTTCCTGTAAGTGCTTTAGGCTCTTTCTCCCTAGAGATCTCATCTAATCTCACTTTGAAATGCCTTCTGCACAACTAGAAGATTTATAAATGTATTTTTGGCTCTCTTCTCTTTCCTGAATGCTGGAATCATATATTCAGCTCTAGGTGTTATTTCTTAATTGAATGTCTAGTGGCATATCAAACTCAACATGGTCAAAGTAGAAATCCTATTGCTCTGTTAACTTGCTCACTCTCTATCTTCTGTCTCAATTATTGGCACCACCATCAGTCTAATTGCCCAGTAACTTTGGAGTGTTTTGTGACACCCCTGTTCTCTCACTCCTTGTAAATCTCTGATTCATTCACCAAGAACTTCCACCAACAGAGAGCCTGCAGTTTTCCATTTCTTGGCATCTTTCCTACCACCATAGTAATCTAACCCACATCTCTAGACTGAAAAACAGCAATTGTCTCCTACCTAGTGTCTCTGCTTTTACTCTTTTCTCTTATAATCCACAGAGCATCCAGAGAGTGCTCTTTTAAAATCATGCAAATTAATCTTATTATTCCCTGGTTTAAAACCTTCCAATGGGTTGGCAGTGCACTGAGAATTAAAATGAAAATGCTTTACCATGGCTTTCAAGACTCCTGGTAACCTGGCTTCTATTAGCTTTCCCACCTCATCTTATGCACTTGCCCCTCTTTTCCTATGCCTTGAAAACATTAAATATATTTCTGGGTTAGAGTCTTTGCATTCTCTGTTACCTATGCCCACAATGTTATTCCCCCACCTCTTCTTAAGTCTACCCTTTCTATCATCCAGATTGCGGCTCAAATGTAAACTTCTCAGTGAAGTCTTCTCTCATTCCCAGTCCAGAGCAGTGCCCATTTCTTCGCCCCTCCTCCCACAAGTCACTGTCTTTGCCATTGGGTTTAAAAAATTCCTTGCAATTATGAATATTAAAAATAATATCACTTGTGGTTTTACTCCCTCCCCCCTCCTCTTTTCGTCTGATCTTTTTAGGGCAAGGACCATCTGTCTTCACAGCTGTAGAACTACTGCCAGTACAGGGCCTGGAACAGATAAGTCTTCAACATGTAGTTGTGATATCTATAAAATATGAATGTCTTCAGCTCTCTTGAATTTCAAGTGAAACTAGCTTTTTGTAAGTCTCTTGTCAACTGACAAGCAAGCTTTTTTTGATAATAGAAAACTGTGGAATATTAACTTTATTTTGATTTGAAAGAAAATTAAATATATTTTTGGACATTTAAAAGAACCTCCTACAGAAGGGCATTTCCTCTAGAAAAATTCCACCATTCTCCTAGATTAACTGAATCTAAAACATTAGGAAAATTACCTACGTGTATCATGTATGAAGAAGACCACCTCATAAGTAACTCTACAGGGAAAAGGTAAACACAGGTAGATCTTATCAAACCATCACATTCAGAGAATAAATTCAAGTTTCTTTTCAAGCGGTGAATGACACAATGCAGTTGTGCAGCCTTGCCATGTGGAGGCTCCATTACTGACCCTGGGAACACTGTTCTAAAGGAAACTACCTTGCAATATCTTGGGCCACAACCAGAAGTCAAGACATAAAAAAGTAAGACAGAATAAAAATGCTATCCAAAAGAAAATGCAAAATGTTTGTTTAGGTATGTTGCCTGTATTTAAGCAGGGGAAAGGGAAGATCTAGGGAAATGGAGGACTGACTACATAATCAGCGTGGTCCATTGCAAAATAAAAATGTGAGGCTTCTTGTTTAAAAATTATGAAGAACAAAACAGCGACAGCAGACTATTATTCCTGAGCATTAAACCAAACAGTGGTATTACGAGCTGTGGCCTAGACAACTGCACAGTCACACACCCATGAAGCCCACCCTGTGGGAAGGGGAGAATTAGAATTCATCTCCAAGAATGTGAAGCAATCCCCACCCTGCCAAAACAACAATGAAAATAAACAGCCATCCAAATTAGGGCAGGTTGTGCCCAATCCTGAAGGCTACGCTTGTGACAATGGGGGTGGTGCTGAGGTGGACTTGGGAGCACCGCTCCTACATAACAGACTTTGATAGAGAAGAATAGTTTCTGAAGCTCCAGAGAAACTTCAGGCGCAAAGAATAAGGTGAAGGAAAGGAAACCACATCAGATCTTCCTCTTGCTCTCGGGCCGTCAATGCCTGTTCTTTTCAAAGCGACCCTCTCCTTAGCTCGCTGTGTATATATATCCAGTGCCTTAGGAGCTGGGTGGAGTAGGTAGGGTTGGCTGTAGGCGTGTCAGAGCAACAAAAAGGATAGAGACAGGATTAAATCTCTTTTTGTGGACTGGTTTCCTACCTTCTTTGGCAACAAACCCCAGGGCTCTCAGAGGGGGCCTGGATGTGTGTGGGGGCCTGGATGTGTGTGGGTTCCGGATGACCCAACTCCCTTGACCCTCCGAAGGTAAGACCTAAGCGGAACCGCTGTGATCACCATTCTTGAATCCCTCAAAAGTCACCTCACTTGTAGAAGAAGTGAGTAGTCTTCGAGCATTTGGAAGAGGTGGCAGAGACCGTGGGGCCCAGGAAGCTCGCGACCCGGGAAGCGGGTCGGAGGAGATGCGCCCCATCCATTCAGTCCGCTGCAGGGGCAATGGGACCCGCGAGAACTGTAGTACCGGCAGGGAGGGAAGAGCCGCTCCTGACGAGGCGGCTCCAAGCCCGCGCCACTCGGTCCTACCCCGGCTCTCGGAGGTTCAGGCCCCGGGAACTGCGGGCGGAGGGGGCGGCGACCAGGCACCCTGCGGCGACCAGGTACCCTGCGGCCACTGCGGCCGCTGCTCCTGCCAGCGCCTGCAGGGTGGTGGCTCCGCAGGGCCCGCCCCCAGCTCCCCTTCCCCGCCCCTCACGCCCCCTTCCCGCCCCCGCCCGGCGTCCGGGCCGCGCCGACCCGGCGCCCTGTCCTTCCGAGGGCGTCCGGCGGCAGCTTCTTGGTTGCGACGGCGCCTCTCCAGTGCCGGCGTTGCAACGCTCCGGGCTGCAGAGTCCTCCCGCCTCAGCCATTTTCCCTCCTCCCCCCTCCTCCGTCTCCTCCCCTCCCGTTCCTCATCCCCTCCCTTCCCCCCGCGCGGGGACTTTTCCGGAAAGTTTTTATTTTCCGTCTCGGCTCTCGTAGAAAGAAGCTCCTGGCTCAGCGGCTGCAAAACTTTTCGGTTGCCTCGCCGCTGGCTCCCGCCCTCCGCTGCCCGGCCCTGCGCCCCGCCGAGCGATGAGCGCCCCTCCGGTCCTGCGGCCGCCCAGCCCGTTGCTGCCGGTGACGGCGGCCGCGGCGGCAGCTGCCACCGCACTGGTCCCGGGGTCCGGGCCCGGGCCCGCGCCGTTCCTGGCTCCCGTCGCTGCTCCAGTCGGGGGTATCTCGTTCCATCTGCAGATCGGCCTGAGCCGCGAGCCGGTGCTGCTGCTGCAGGACTCGTCCGGGGACTACAGCCTGGCTCACGTCCGCGAGATGGCTTGCTCCATCGTCGACCAGAAGGTAAGGCGCGGCGCCGCTGCCAGCCCGGCGCCTCCCAGCCGCGCAGGGGGCGCTGCCCGGCCGGCCCTCTCCGCGCCAACTTTCTGGCTCCCGGGGCTCGGCCGGCGGCCAGCCTCGTCGGCGCTCTGGAAGCGGTTGGTCCCGCAACCCAAGGCGCTGCGCTCGCAGTTGCTCATCCTCCTCTCGCCCCATCTTCCTCTATTCACCGATTTCTCTCCAGTCCGCCTTCTTCTCACCCATTTCCAACGTTCTCATCACATTTTAAGGTATCTTGCCCTTTCCTCACCGCGCCCCTCCTTGTTCTTGAGACTTGCCGGCTTTCTTCCCCTTACTCCCCTACGGACCGTGGACCAGCACATTCCTGGCGCCAGAATCCTTTTTCCTGCACCAGAATGTGTCCGGGACACCCTCAGCATGATTGTAGCACCATTCCCTTCCCTTCGAGACCCTTCTCTCAGCACAGATTGGTGTTGAGGGGTTCTGGAATGACCTGGAGACAAGAAATTTCTCACCTGTCAGATAAGCCTTTAAGAGAGTGTGATTGATTCGGCCAGCTGTGAAAACAACTGACCAGGACTGCAGCTCCCCAAGTCCCTGTCATCTTTTAGTTCCACCTCTGTATGAGCATGGAAACACATTTTCCAATGACAAAACCTGAAAGTTGCAACCTTCTTGTTTTTGATTCCCGGGATGCTGATAGTAGGACGTTGAAGTGGTGGGGGTGATGTCCAGGAACACCCCGAGGCTGGCTGTGATGTTAATTTTGAGGCTGTGGGACTCTGGACAGCAGCGACTGAAGGCAGGTTGGAAGAAGGGCCATTATAGGGGCCCAGCCACCCCCGGAGGAAACTCAGTCCACCCACCACTGTTTACAGTTGCAATTTGGATTTTCATTTTGCCTCTGGAGCCATCCAGAGGGATGTTGCATGGAAGAGGGTGATACAGATGTGGGGGGGGGGGGCGGGGCACAGGGTCAGTCTTTGTGTAAACAGCCAGGGTTTCAGGGGTGGAGACAGAGGTCTCTAAAGGTGCTGAATTTCAGCCCTGGAGGACGGACTAGCATTCCTTTTGCTTTCTAATTATCAGTTGAATAATCATGAATTGCTTTCTTCAAACTATTTGTAACAGAGTTTGCTAAACCATAAGGGCTATGAATTGCAGCATTGAGCATAGGGATGTTAAAAGCACCAGGGGCGGGGGTAGGGGGGTGGGGGGGTGGGAAATCACTGATTTAGGAAGTTACAAAAGTTCTAGACTAAGGTAACAATGAGTGCCAGGAGTGCTTAATTATTGAAATTTATATTACAGGTAACTAAATTGTTTGCAACTTCCAAGAAAATGACACATTTTGTCTAATGCTGATATAAGTCATTTCATGCTCCTTTTCCATATCAGTATTGTCTACTGTGGGTGAGCAGGAGCACTCTCCTAGGTACTGCAAAACCCTTGTATACAACCCTCTCCATTTGATGCAGACCAATTAATTAAACAGCAATGCTCCGTAAGCATATATACAATGTAAAATAAAATTTCTTGAAAAGCAAAGGTAATTCTGTAAAATTTTAACTTTTTAATTCTAAAGCAAGTGATATAATGTCAGAGAATATTCAAATTGGGTCAAAGTAATAGTGATAGTCTTCGTTTAATATTGACCAGCTAGAATCTCCCCCTACTTCCTCATAGAGTTCAGAATGGAGAGACGCATGGTTCAAGAGGTTTGGGAGTGGGATTTTAAATGGAGGGTGAATTCCAGGTGTCTCAGAAGCTGTAGAGGTGTGTTACATGGAGAAAGTGAGATGAGAGCAGAGGGAGAGGGGCAGCAAGCCCCTTTGTATGGAATACAACAGGCCTGAAGGTGGTGGCTGGAATATTTAAGGGGAAGTACAGTTAGGAAAAGGCTTTGAATTAAAATAAACTCAAATTGCTAGAAGCCTCAGTAATCTTTTCATAGCGACATCATACCAAGGACATCTGAAAGATGGATTTGCTGTGTGGAGGTTTTAGAATGCCAAAAATGTTATGGCAGAAAGAACACCGGAGTTCAGTCATGAGCTAGTTGGAACATGAGCCAAGACTCTTTGGGAAAAGACAGAGAGAAACATTGGAAAGGGAAAATCATCAGGCCTGATTGGTGACTGATTTATAAAAGTAGTCCTTTTTGTACTTATTCTAGTAGTTCTTCTGTCCCTCAAAGAAGTTTGACAAATTTGACTGTTTGGGATAGTTAAGGTATAGTTCTCACTTTGATTTCTTTTTTTTTTTTTAGGTTATAAAAAAGTTGGGGTTAGACTTACAGATGTGAACATGAGGGCTATTTATATACAGAATACTATAAATAAATATATACTGGATAGTGGTTCTGGATAGAGGACTTTTTCAATTTCTCTATCATCCATCATCTCTTTCAGAACTATTATTATCCCAGCAGAAACAAAATTAAGAGAGCTGAAGGTCCATCACAGGATAACAGGGATCTCTGTGTGGTGTAACAGTAGGAGTGGCAGAGTGTCAGTGTGGAGTTAAGGAAGCGGAAGGGGGTTCTTTCATCTTTTATTTCAGTTTTGTTTTTTTAAGTACCTTATGAGGACATCAGCTATGAGGAAGGATGACAGGAGTTTGGGGAGTAGATGTTTCAGGAGAGAGCAGAGGATTTGAAATCATTTACAATTTACTATGTGAGCTGGAGTCCTATGGAATTTACAGGAAAAGGTTCTCCTGATATTTCTGAGACTTCCACATCTGTTATTTTAAATGTGATAAGACGTTTTTCTTTCACTTTGTTCAGGAGCTTTGTAAATACTAACATAGATCATATGAGCTTTGGAAATATTAGCTGACAATTTCAGTAAGATGCATAGGACATTTCCTATGGGATGAGCAACTGAGGTGTACAAGGCTGCATAAGTTTCCCTGAGAAACTCACCTCTAAATTATTATTGTTATTATATTAGAATTTAGAGTATAGTTTTTCTCTATGTAACAGACAGGATTGTATTTGAAACATTGTGATGATAATTCAACAAAAAACACTTATTTTAAGAAAATGTCCCTGAAGTCTATACTGACTTACATAAGTAAAGAATTATTTGTTTCATCTTCTAGTTTAGATGAAAATCTAGTCTTGCCGTTTTATATGTAACAATGTATGAATGTATAAGATGTTATCCTTTCTTTTTAGAAAGTATTGATCCGGGTTTTTATTTATATTATGCTTATTTATTTAGTTTGCAAGAGTGTAACATTGAAACCTGGTTGTATATAAAGATACGTATTCTGTTAATGTACATGATTATTGTTTTCAGGAGGCTAAAAAAACAATAACAATAATTGACTTCACTTTGAAACATTGTTACTTTCTACTATCAAAGAAACCTTGAATATGCAGACTGAGGAGGAATTGTTTTAAAGCAAGGAAAAAAAATCCAGAGGAAGAGCTAGTTTGGTGTCACAGTTCATCATTTACCTATCTACCACACACATACATAGTTTTTTTTTTTTTTTTTTTTAAATGAGCAGTGTTACTTTAGGGATGTTTGATGCAATCAATATAACTGCTCATTTTGACTGTTATCTTATTAGAAAGACAACTGATATTTTACTCTTAAATGTACTTAAATGGAGTAAGGTATTTGTAAGACTCCTGGCTTATAGTTTCACTTTTCAGAATCGTCTTTTGGCCAAAGAAATTTAACAGTTAGATTTTAAGTAGATAGCTCACTAAAGGAATAAGGTTAGTGCCTTGGTTTGAAAGTAGCATTACTTTGCTTGTAATTGTTTCACTTTAATTCTATTATACATTGTTTTCTTAATAGTTGTGGTGTCATTTTTCTCTTTATTACTAATTTTAGCTATTCCACATACTCCAAATAAATTGAGAAAGTTGGAAGTAATTAGGTGCTTGACTAATCCAACTCCCCTGGACCAACAAACTCCTTTCAAGCTAATGATGGTCTTTGGGGCTTAGGTGTATATATTTTTATTCTAATTTTATAATTGGCTATATTATATGTTTACTGATTTCTCATTTAATATTGAAGTGTAGACTTTGTCTTTTACTGTGATTTTTTTCTTGTCTTTTTTTTTTTTTTTCTTATACAGGGTCTCACTCTGTTGCCCAGGCAGGAGTGCAGTAGCACAATTGCAAGTCACTGCAGTCTCGCCCTCTGAGCTTAAGTGATCCTCTCACCTCAGCCTCTTGAGTAGCTGGGCCTACAGGTGTATTCCTGGCTAATTTTTAAATTTTTAGTGGAGATGGGATTTTGCCATATTGCCCAGGCTGGTCTCAAACTCCTGGACTCAAGAGGTCCTCCTACCTTGGCCTCCCAAAGTGCTGGAATTACATGTGTGAGCCACTGGGCCTAGCCTATGAAGTGATTCTTAAGTAATACAATTTTAGTACTCTAATTTTATTTTTATTATTTTATTTTTTGAGATACGTCCCAGACTATAGTACAATACACAATCATAGCTCACTGCAGCCTCAAATACCTGGCTAACATGATCCTCCTGCCACAGCGTCCCATGTGTTTGGGACTACAAGTATGTGCCACCACATCTGGCTAATTAAAAAAGTTTTTTTATAGAGACAGTGTCTCACTATGTTGCCCAGGCTGTTTTTGAATTCCTCACCTCAAGCGATCCTCCCACTTCAGCCTCCCAACATGCTGGGATTACAGGCATGAACCACTGTGCCTTGCCTATATTTTAAAATTTAAGTTTCTTTTCAAGTTTAATAGTGTAATAAGATTATATTTTGGAACTGTATATTATCTACATATTTAGGTATTATATATGTGTAATATATGTAGTAGATTGTCTATTTTTTCTAATATATTTAAATAAATATATATTTTTAGATTTATCTATGTCTAACTATATTTTAAATAGACATTATCTATTTGTATTTTTAAAGAGCTTCATTATCCTTGTATAGCCTCCAGATGCTGAAGTATTGTTTTTTATTTTGTATTGTAGACTGCCAAAAATGAGGCCTCATCACA